GACATCCTGGGGGCACCTCGGGCCAGGGGCGGTCCTGGGGGAGCCAAAAGGCACCGTCACCGCTACTCCCCAGACCTCCCCAAGGGCGCGTTCTGACCAAAAGTACAAGGCGAAGCCAGCGCTGGCGACGAGGGCATCCCAGCAGGCCCAACAAAGGGGGAAATGAGGAAAGGGTAGCAGCGTAGGTACCTTTTCATCCTCCGAAGTTCTATGGAAGAACAAAACAACTGCAGAAACCTAAACTTTGGAGGTCCGCGCGGAGTTCTCGGATCCGCGCTGGACCGCGGTCCCGGCGCAGATCCAAGAAATCTGTGCGGAGCGCCAAAAGTTTGTTATGTTTATAGCGTTTTTGTTCTTCGATAGCAGCACCCTCGGCTACACGCAAGAGTGGCCCTGGGTAAGAGTGACCTTTGGTGCGCGGCTGTTCGGAGTGCGCGTGGGGACCAAACACCGGCGCGCAAGACGCCACTACCGCATCGCGCTCGGCGATCGGGGGACCCCATTGGGACCGCACCAGAAGTCACTCTTGCATGTAGTCGATCCTCCCTCCCTCCCTCATCCCTCCTCCCTCCTCCCTCCCTCTTTCCCTCCCTCCCTCCCTCCTGCCTCCCTCCCTCCCTGCCCACTTGGGGCCGGTGCCCGTGGGGTGAGGACCGCAGGGCCCGAGACCGGGCAGCGGCGCTCGCCGAACTTCTCCGCCACGGCCGCCCCGCGGGCCCGCAGCACTGCCCCGGCCAGCGTCGGCGCGGGCGGAGGGCCGGCGCCCCACGAGAAGCGGGGCTTGCCCGGGCCCTACCCAGGGGTTCGGGTTCGGGCCTGCGGGGCTGCAGCTGCTCCTCCTCCTCCCTCCTCCGCCTCCTCCTCCTCCTCCTCACTCCTCCTCCTCCTCCTCCTCCTCCTCCTCCTCCTCCTCCTCCTCGCCTCCTCCTCACTGCTCCTCCTCCTGCTCCTCCTCCTGCTCCTCCTCTTCCTTCATTCCTCCTCTTCACCCTCGCTCCTCCTCCTGCTCCTCCTCCTGCTCCTCCTCATTCCTTGTCCTGATTAATAACTTCCCCTTGTCGCACCCCGAGGCCAACTTAGGGCGGGCCGGGCGTTTCGCTTGAGACTTCCTCACCAGTTATGACCCTGAAGCTTAAACATTGGCAACAATTTCACAGATGGAGGGCGGGTCGCTGTCAAAATGTGGCTCTCGCCCTAGCGCCGCGCACACACGTTGTAAAAATTAACAAGATGTTCACGTATTGAGGGCGACTGGTTCTCAAAATGCGGCTCTCGCCCTAGCGCCGCGCACATTCGTGTTGAAACCTTTTGCAAAAACGTCGCGGATTGAGAGTGGTTCCTTTTCAATGTGGCGCTGCACATCTTCGTTTTCAACAAGAAGTTCACGGAATGCCCATAACCAGCGTGCCATAAACTGTGAGTTGGAAGGATTCAAGATTATGAGGGTGCAACAGTTACGTTGATTCGCGGCGTTGAAGTCCCAAGAATGGCGTTCTGGCACGAGTCAGAATCGTCAAGACGCAGTCAGGTTGATCCGTAGCGTTGGACTCCCGAGAACGATGTTTTGGCATGCGTCAGGTTCTTCAAACGCTTGTCTTCCAACGAGGCAGATCATTCAGCGGAAATGAAGCCTTGTAGGGGCCTATGAAGAGGGAGCTTGGAGGGAGGACGTATTCCAATATCGTTGATGACTCTCGGGTTTACACTGGTCTTCCTCCTCCTCCTCCTCCTCATCATCATCATCGTGGTGACGTTCCACCCCCTCTTCGGGTCTGCGCTTGCTGCCACCAACGCTTCAGAATGGCTGGGTGACAGCGGGCCAGCTGCTCGGTTGTTGCCCCATCTGTGACACACGTCGGCCCCGCGATGTCGTGGCGGAATGAGTCTCGCGATGGTTACTCATGTGCTGATCGTGCTAAGTCTATCTCACGGAGGAGGGTGCGCGGCCACTGCAACCACTGCGGCAGCCACTGGAAAACACCCGCCACGGACGGAGGAGACGGTGACCCAGGACCAGCTCGAGCTGACGCGCGCCGTGGAGCTTTGGCGCTGGCTGGTCCATCTGGGTCGCCACCATCATCATCCGCATGAGGCGCTTCCAAGCAGGAACTGGAGCAGCTTGACATTCTGCGCAAGGAGGTCGGCGCCTCGTCGATGTTTGTCCTAGGCACAAGCACAGCTGGCTATGGCTAGGATTGAGCGATCATCATCAGCAGCCCCGCAGGTCAGATCAGATGCTGTGCTCAAGGAGACGCAGCGCTTGTTAAAGAAGTTGGCCACGTACCTTGAGTCGGTTGGAGCAGCGCCTGGCGCTACGAAGTACTGACCTTGAAGGCACTCTCGGCGAGCTGGACTTGCACGGATCGGAACAAAAACGAGCTGTTGCTGAGCTACACATGGCCGTGTCGCCTCAGGCTCAGGGCGAGGTGGCGCCGACGCTCCGCCTCACGGACATCCTGGACGGGGAAGCTCCCTGCGTTGCAGCTGGACGGTGGCGGTCTGTTCGGGCCGTGCGACTGCCAGGACCCCTCCGATCACGATCGGCAGAACCGAGAACAGAGGCAGAAGCAGCTGCCCGAGCCGATCCAGAAGCTCCGAAGCAGGGAGAGCGACTCCCGGGCCGCTCCCAGCCAACCCCCCCGTGCCCCGACCCCGCTGCCGGCGTCGCCGCTGGAGGCGCACGGGGGCAGGCCCGCCAGGCACTCCACAGGGGTGCCGAGGCTCTGCCGCCGGCGGCAGCCCCGCCGACGGCTCCCCGAGGAGGCAGCGGCACCGGGCCCCCAGCATCACGATTCAGCCGGGCACGGCAGCCACTCTTCCGCACACCTCCCACTGCGCTGGCCTGTCCTGCCTCTTCTGACTTCCTCCTCCTCCCCCTTCCTCTGCTCCTCTGACTGGTTTCTCTCCCATCCTCCGCCGTCTCCCCCCCCTGCTCCGGATACGCGCGGGCAGGCTGGCAAACCCAAATTCAACTTGTGATGAATCGTCGTCGGAATTCCCTCCCACGTGCCTCCCCACCGCACGTCGCCCGAACGTTCTGCCCAGGAGACGGCAGCGCAACATGGAAGTCGAGGACAAAACGATGAGCAAGGATATCGATTGGAACCGAACCATCACCAGAGCGATCATGGGACACGCCCTCGCAGGGAAAGAAGCTGGGAAATCGCATAAACAAGAGAGGGACGATGAAACGAAGGCTTCCAAAGCACATATGAGCCCTGAAAGGAAACGCATTTCGATGGCCAGAAAGGACAATACATGTTATGATAGGCCGCTTCGTGAATCTCGGACTCGTCGCATCACGTACAACTACGAGTACAGAAGCGCACATAGTGAGGAACAATTTGCAAATATGCAACAACTAACGCAACACACAAAGTCAGCGACCATGAAAGGCACGAGGAAAACAATAAATAATGGCACAAAACGTAAAGATCACCCCCAATTCACAGTTCTTGAATGATCGTCGGGGTGCTTCGAGGGACAGGCAACCCAACGCAAACGTAGAATTGGCGATCTCTCAGCCAAAACCGCATGAAAGACCGAGCCAAGCGGCGAGAACTTCGACGCTTGTACACGATGCATTCCCCATGCCACGTAGGCTCCCCGGTGCGAGTCTCCGCGAGAACCAAAAAACTAATGTACGTAATTAGACGTCCTTTTTGCCGCTTCTGAAGCCCGTGCTGTGCGCCCCATGCTGGGCGCGGCCCAGGCAGCACCAGCACGGGGCGGGGGGCACTCCCGACCCGTTCTTTGGCACACCCGCAGTGCGTACAGGAAGGATGGGTACGATGCCCAACAGTGAATGTTGCTCGAAACCGACAGCGGCCGCTGTTGGGCAGGCGACTTCTTGCATCAACTGGACAACGTCCGCGGACTCTGTTGCATCTAAGGCGCAACGTCCGCGGAGGCACAGAGGGCGAGCCCTGCTCAAAACGAACAGGAACAGCTGTCCGTCTTCGTCCCCATCGTTTCAATACCCAGTTTGTTCGTACCGAGTTCTGGTTCCCGCCCCGGAGCGGGCCGGATCAACAGGAAATCGATGAAAGCTGGCTGCCACATCATGTCGGCCCCGCGCCAAATCGGGCGAGCCCGAGCTCGGCATCGCGCACCGTGATTCCCGCATCGGGTCGAATCGAGTCGGAGCCAGGGGAGATCGGTTCGAATCGGCCCAGCGGAGTCGGAAATCGATCTGGGAGTGCACTATTTACTCGCCGCGATAACGGGCGTTAAGGGGTGGAGCGGGAGTGAGGCATGACGCAACGCCACCCTCTTGCCATGTGGGCCCGGCACCACAGACTGTTGGTACCGTACGCACTGCGGCAGTGGCGGGGACACACTGGGTGGGAGGAGCATTACGTAGTCGGGGGGAGGGAGGGGAGAGAGGGGGGGGGGGGGCATAACGCGCGCTGTGGCCCAGGGGGTAACAAAAAAAAACACTCTCTGGGTGGGCGCCGTCGCCGCCCAGCCCAGTCGAGCACAGCTCTCAAACACTTGGCGGCAACAGCGGTGCTCCCCATGCGCTTCGGCATCGTCCGGGGCCCGCACACGCGCGCGCGCGAGGCGTGGACCTCCGCGCTGTGGCCCTCGCAGCCACCCCTGGCGGACTCCTCCGCGAAGCGCTTCAGCTGGTCGTCTGTGACCCGCACGTCCTGCGGCGGGGTGGGGGGGAGGCGAGAGCGAGGACGAGCACGTTGACGAGGGGAGCAATGGAGGAGGAAGAGGAGGCGCGTGGCGGGGAAGAGAGGAGGACGGACAGAAGGAAAGGTACGACGACGAACACCTGAAGAACCGATATCCTCGAAGCTCGGAAGTGCTCTAGCACAGGCTTACAGCCGAAAGTTCAGGGCCGCCCCAACCCCACCAGCCAACGAGAAGGGGAGGAAATAGGAAGAGGAGGGAAGAGGGGGGAGGGAGAAGGGTGAGAGAAAGAGAAGCAGCAGAGAGGGGACGGATGCGGAGTGCAGACAACGGACAGCTTGACATCCCCCCCCCTTTTGCTTCGACGCTTGACATTCGGACGCTAAGTGCAGACGTGCAGACAGCGGACTTTCCAAGAGGGGGCCAATGAGAGCCTGGCAAGTTGGAGCAGGGGCGCCACTATGCGGCACGGAGTAACAAACAGGAAGAGGAGCGGGAAGGACCAGTTCGCGGGCATGGGCTACAGCAAACAGGCCACATGCACGAGAGGAGCACGTGCAACGCATGCCAGCTAGCTTCCTGGTGCCACCGTGCCGAGCGCAGAAGCAGACGCACGAGACGGCCCGTGGTTCTTTCATCCGGAGCTGATACAGCAGCGGCGCGATCGCTCACGCGGCCGCGCCGCCGCCCCCGTCGCGCCCGCGCACGTTGGTGCAGGCGCGCGTCGGCCTCGGCCGAGGGGGGCGACCCGGAGGCGGCGGGGGGGGAGGAGGAGGAGGAGGAGGAGGAGGAGGAGGAGGAGGAGGAGGAGGAGGAGGAGGAGGAGGAGGAGTGGAGGAGAGGAGGGAGGAGGAGGGAGGAGGAGGAGCAGGAGGAGAGGAGGAGAGGAGGCAAGAACAGGGGAGGGCGAGGGGGGGAGCAGGCACGGGGCGGAGGGAGCAGCCAGCAGGGGGCACGGGCGGGGCGTGCAAGGGATGGAGGGAAAGCGCGAGGGCGGCAGGGCGAGGCCGGGGGAGGAGGAGGGGGAGAGGGGAGGAGGAGGGGAGGAGGAGGGAGGAAGGAGGAGGAGGAGGAGGAGGAGGAGGAGGAGGGAGGGAGGGAGGGAGGGAGGGGGGGAGGGAGGGAGGGGGGGGAGGGAGGGAGGGAGGAGGGGAGGGAGGGAGGAGGGAGGAGGAGGAGGAGGAGGAGGAGGAGGAGGAGGACGAGGAGGAGGAGGAGGAGGAGGAGGCGGAAGAGTACGGGGCACATTGGAAACACGACCACAAGAGACCTTCCACAAGACAAAACACATCTACTGGCCCTGAGACCCCAGGACGTCCATTGACGTTTAGTGTGGGAGCGTCGAAACCCAAGAAACCCGGGGCACCCTGGAGGCAAGCAGGGTGTTTTTTGGCATGGGTTCCCACTGCGCACGCAGGAGGGGCCCTGGGTAAGAGCGGCCGTTGGTGCCCGACCCTTGGGGGCCGCAGGGGAAAGGGGCAATCACAGGCGCGCAAGACGCTACTACCGCGTCGCGCTCGGCGATCGGGGCACCCCAATGGGCCCGCGTGAAAGAACACTCCGGAGAAGGGTCACTCCTACGTGCAGTCGAGTATAGAGGTGGACCTGGCTGAGGGAGCAGGTGGAGGGAGGTGGCAGGGGGGAGAGAGGGCAGAGGGGGAAGCCAACGTCTCACTGCAAGGATCCTCGAGCACATTCTGCTCCCAAAAACAGGGTACGACCTGCCCCTCGTGTCCCGAGAAGACCACCCGAAGACAACCTGGCGCCCTGCGAACATAAAGTGCTCCTCGTTGCGACGCCCAGACTGCAGGTGAGATCTCCAAAACACCTCAGGCGTCCCCAGGTGTCCCCAGAGGGGCCAGACCCCCCCCGGAAAATTCAAGCTGCTTCAGCTCCCAGGAGAGCACAGAATCAAATCGATAAGTCGGATCGGCGATCGAACTGAGTCGGATCGGTGGAAATCGGCAGCCGACTCGGCAGAAATCGAAATCGGCGGAAATCGGCGGGCTCGAAGGCTTCCCGTGAAAAATCCGTCAACCCTGTCGGCGTGTGTGAGGGGCTTTTCCGTTCGAGTCGGGCTTTTCCGTTGGAGTCGTCGTCTCCGTCCTCCTCTGTTGCATTTGCCTCGGCCCCCTTCCTCAGAATTACGCGCCGTCCAAGGCAAAATTGAACAACATCGGAGTGGAATCGAAGGGAGACTCCCTTCCCTTTGATCCCTTCCCCGCGGGGGTCCCGGGGGGGGGTCCCGCATGGGGGGTTCATGGGTGGGTCCCCGGGGGGTGTTGGGGGGGTCCCTGGGGGCGTGGCCACCCAGATACGTTTTCCCCCCGCGCCTCGGCCCGACCCCGCTCCCGCACCGGCCCCAGACCCAGACACGGCCCAGCCCACGGGGGCTACAGAAGTCCCAGGTCCCGGCCCCAGCGCCCGGGCCCCCGGCCCCAGCCCCGGCCGTGGCACCAGCCTCGGCCTCGGCCTCGGCCTGACCCCAGCCCTGGCCCTGGCCCTGGCCCCAGCCGCGGCCCCAGCCCAAGCCCCAACAGAGCCCGAGAGGCTCCCAAGAGAGCCCCACGAAAGGCTTCAGAGCGTCAGCGTCGTTGTCGTCGCCGCTGCCGCCGCCGCCGCCGTCGTCGTCGTCGCCGTCCCCCTTCAGGGTCGGCAACACTGGCCGCTAGGCCTTCCTCCCAACCGTAACCCGAATCGGAATCCGAGGTCGAATCGCACCAGAAACGGAAGCCATGAAAGCGGATCGAATCGAATCGTATCGAGAAAAATCGATATGAGACCCGATCTCCTCCTGGGGGGACCGATAAATATCGATACCGCTACTCCCCGGCCCACTCCCAGGGCGCGCTCTGACCAGAAACTCGAGGCGAAGCTGGCGCGGTGGCGACGAGGGCCTCCCAGGAGGCCCCAACAACAGAAAGCGACGGAAAGGTAGCGGCATAGGGTATACCTGTTCCTCCTCCGACCTCCCACCTCTTCCTCCATGTCTCTCTCTCTCTCTCTCTCCCTCTCCCTCTCTCCTTCTCTGACTCCCTACGCGGGAAGCTGACGCGCCAATGTCGGCGGCGCGCAAGAGGGTAGGGGGAGGGGGAAGGCTTCTTAGAGGGAGGCTGCCTCTTAGAAGGCGCCAGCCCTACATCCACAGACAAGCCCCGCGCCTTCTGAGAAGCAGCGGTGCTTCTAAGAAGCCTTACCCCCTCCCCCTCCCCGTCGGACACAATCTGCGTCGGCGACGTCCTGATGTTTTCAATACGCGGTCCCTGGAAACCCCGACCCTTTCCCGAAGACCGGCTCTTCATCCTGAGCCGTCTCTTGACGGCCCCGGGGCCCAACGAGGGACCCTGGCGGCCGAAAATGGCCCAAACCCTCCCGTCGTGACTCTCTGTAACGACGCGATCATGTCTGGGGGGGTCGGTGTCTCCCCGAGGGAAGGGGGAGGTAGGGAGGGAGGGAGGGAGGATAAAGGAGCAAGATGGACACGATTCTGCAGGGAAGAGTCGCGCGAAGCGCCAAAGACGCACACCTCTGAATGGGGGGGCCATTGGTCGGGGGCGCGCAAGCATGGATTTGCGATCCATGGATTCGGCGCGCGGACGCCAGATCCATGGATCGCTGGGAAGGCGCCCTCCCCAAAATTGGTCCGCCTCGCTCGGCGGCGGAGGTCCGCGATTTCCCGTGGGAACGGGACCCGTCGCCAATCCACGCCCCCCTGATCCATGCTTGCGTTAAGTAGGGCCTGTCCCCCTACAGGGGGATCGCCGACTGTTAAAAAAAATATCCCGGCAAAGCAACCTAACAGCGATGTGTAGAAGCATATCTGGAAGCATTGTCCTCAAGACTCAGATCAGAATCCAGTTGTAGAATTCTGCTGTTCTCACAGTCGCAGTCGCATTCGCGATGACAGTCGCAGTGGCAACGGCATTCGCAATCACAGCCTCAGCCTCAGCCTGCCTGAGTATCAGCCTGCCTCAGCCTCGGCCTCAGCCTGCCTCAGCCTGCCTCAGCCTCAACCTCAGCCTGCTTCAGCCTCAGCCTCAGTCTGCCTTCAGCCTCAGCCTCAGCCTCAGCCTCAGCCTGCCTCAGCCTCAGCCTGCATCAGCCTCAGCGTCTGCCTCAGCCTGCCTCAGCGTCTGCCTCAGCCTGCCTCAGCCTCAGCGTCAGCCTCAGCCTCAGCGTCAGCCTCAGGCTGCCTCAGCATCAGCCTGCCTCAGCCTCAGCCTCAGCCTGCCTCAGCCTCAGCCTCAGCCTGCCTTCAGCCTCAGCCTCAGCCTCAGCCTCAGCCTGCATCAGCCTCGGCCTGCAGCCTCAGCCTCAGCCTCAGCCTCAGCCTCGCGCCCTCAGCCTCAGTCTGCCTTCAGCCTCGGCCTCAGCCTCAGCCTGCCTCAGCAGCCTCAGCCTCAGCCTCAGCCTCAGCCTGCCTCAGCCTCAGCCTCAGCCTGCCTCAGCCTCAGCATCAGCCTCAGCCTCAGTGCCTCAGCCTTCGGGCATTCAAAATGTGGCCCGGGAATTGAGTTCTGGGAAGTCGAAGACCACGAAGTGGCCTACAGTTGGCTTCGGGCACCCATAATGTGGCCCGGGAATGGAGTTCTGGAAACTGGAAGACCACGAAGTGGCCTACAGTTGGCTCCGGGCATCCGAAATGTGGCCCAGGAATGGAGTTCTGGGAACTCGAAGACCACGAAGTGGCCTACAGTTGGCTCCGGGTATCCAAAATGTACGCCGGGAATAGAGTTCTGGGAACTCGAAGACCACGAAGTGGCCTACAGTTGGCTCCGGGCATCCAAAATGTACGCCGGGAATGGAGTTCTAGCAGCGCCAAGAGCGATTTTGCGAGGATGTCCAAAGCGATTTGGGCTTCGACGGCAGCCGCCCCGGGTCCCGCCCCGACCCCCCTGTGGAGTCATCTGCTGCTCTCTTTTGACACCACTAGTAACCTATCAGTCTTCGCTGTTAGGTGTATATATATAAATGCAAATAATAATCAAAAATGGTCCCCAAAATATGTTGTGACTATTTTTGAATATCCCCCCTGTAGAGGGACAGGCCCGACTTAATGCGTGCGATCGCACGACCCCCCACTGTCTCCCCCCTCAACTTCCCCCCCCCACCATATCTTCGGGGTTTCGGTCTCCCCCCCCACTTCCCATATTCTCCCATGTGCTCCTGGGAGCCGACGATACATTGTGTCTGTGTGTGTTTTCCCCCCCCTGACTGTTTGCGATCGCCCGACCCTCTGCGCGTGGCCGGCAAAAAACGTCGGCGGCGGCGGCCCCTCGGCTCTCCCGGCGCCGCTCCCCAGCCTCTCGGGGCCGAGGGCGGCGGCCCCTCGGGGGGGGGGGCAAGGCCCGCGGCGGCCTCTGGAGCCCCCCCCCCACCCCGCCCTCGCCGGCGACTCCTGGCGCTGCCCCTCGCCCGCCGAAGGGGGGGGAGGGTCATCCCTTCCCCCCTCCCCCCTCCTCCCCTCCCCCTCCCCCCCTCCCCATTCCCCCCTCGCCCTCCCTCGCCCCCCCTCCCCCTCCACAATTACACAATACGAATGCTACTTTCCTCTCTCCCCTCATGGAATATCCGGCCCCCCTCCGCGCACTGGTTTTTTACACGCGGGAGAGCGTTTCTTTATGTTCGGCGATGACGGGCGTCATGGGGGGGGGGCGGGGGGGGGGTTGACGTAACGCCCGCCCCCGTGTGGCTCCGGCACCACAACCGCGCCCGCGCGCACGACGCGACAGGCGACAAGCGACAAGCGACAAGCGACAAGCGACGACGACGACGACGACGACGACGACGCGAGCAGCCTGTAGGCGGCGATCTGCCCCCTCTGCGCATGTGTACACCACAACGCTCGCGTGCACCACAGCGCGCGTGTACACCACAGCGCCTGCGTACATCGAAATAACCGTGTGCAACGCAGCGCCTGTGTACACTGCAGTGCTCGCGTACACTACAGCGCCGGTGTACATGTGCACACCGGAGGCAACCATGTGCAACACAGCGCCTGTGTACTCCACAATGCTTGCGTGCACCGCGGCGCCTGTGCACGCCACAGCGCCTGTCTGCACCGCAGCATCCGCGTGCAACGCAGCGCTATTGTACAGCACAATGCCTGCGTGCATAGGACAGGCAGAAAGAGCCTGTACGTGAGGATCTGCTGCGGAAGCGCCACGCCAGGAAAGAGCTGATAATCGAATGCGACGTTTCTCCCTCTTCCCTTTTCCTCCACTTCCACCACCTCCTCCTCCTCCTTTTCCTCCTCCTCCTCCTCCTCCTTTTCCTCTTTTTCCTCCTCCTCCTCCTCCTACTCCTCCTCCTTTTCCTCCTCCTCCGCCTCCTCCTCCTCCTCCTCCTCTTCCTCCTCCTCCTTACCCCCTGTCGTGCGGGTTAGCGCTACAGCACACGTGCGCAATTCAGCGTGCACCGCAGAATGGTCTATTGAATCGGCCCACTTGGTTCTCGGACGGCCAATTCAGCTGGAGCTTCCTGGACGCAGATGGGAGGAGTTACGGTGATGCGGGCGAACTCGGAAGGACTCGTAGATTCCCCTGGCGTTCCCTTGTCCATAAGGATACTGATCTTGTGTTTTCGGTGGAATCCACAAACGCTTCATTTTGTCATAATGATCCGTTCTAACACTCTACATATAACAGTGGTGTTGTGTTGCACACGGTTGCTGTGGTGCACACAAGCGCCGTGGTGCACACAGGCACTGCAATCCACGCAAGCATTGTGGTGTACACTGCTGTGTTGCACACGGCTGATGTGGTGTACGCAGGCGCTGTGGTGTGCACAAGAGCTGTTGTGCCCGCGCGCGCGGTGGCACAAACTGACGCTGTGTTGCACGCGGCTGCTGTGATGTACATAGGCGGTGTGGTGTACACAGGCGCTGTGGTGCACGAAGACACTGAGGTGTACACAAGCGTTGTGGTGCAGATTGCCACCTACATGCTGGTGCCACCCGTCCTCCGTCATTCCTAAGCATTCCCAAGCGCCGCCGGCGCGAAGCGTGACGTCATCGAACCCCTCCACCACCCCAGATGATTGCCGTCATCGGCCCGGAATTAGGAAAACAAAAAAAAAAAGGCTCCAGCCGCGTCCGCGCGCACGACGACGATGAGCGACGAGCGACGAGCCACGAGCCACGAGCCACGAGCGACGACGACGACGACGACGACGACGACGTCGACGACGACGACTGCAGACCATACTCCGATGCGGATTCCTGCGCGGACACCTACGCGGATCCCGATACGCACGGCGGCATTGCCCAGAGCGCACTGGGGGGGGAGCATTACGTCATAGGGGGTGGGGGCCTGGGGCCATGACGCCCGTCGTGCCCCAAGCAATAAAGAAATGGTCTCCAGGGTTCCCCGGTAACGGGTTTTCGCCTGTTTTTGTTTTCCAAAATGCTGCTGTCGCTGAAGCGCTGGCCTCATGTTCGGCTACCGCTCGCTCCAACGCGTGATCCCGCCGCAGCGCTGGCCTCATTTCCGCGCTTTCGTTCGTGCCGAATCGTGCTGCCGCTGCAGCGCTGGCGTCATTATTTCCAGCGCCATGCCACGGCATGGTTTGCGATCTTTCCAAGTAGGCCCCAACACCTAAAAAGTTGTTTCCCGAAAATACCATCAGAAGTGATTACACATTCGGTGTCGATTCGTTGATTGTTTGGGCCGCAGAAGCCTCTCTCACGCTGGGGCGTCGCCACGCCATGCTATGTCAGGCTACGCGTCCTCATTTCCGCGCTTCCGCGCTTGCGCTTCTTGTCAAAATGCTGCTCTCGCTGAAGCGCTGGCTTCATGTTCGGCTACCGCTCGCTCCGAATCGTGATCCCGCTGCAGCGCTGGCCTCATTTCTGCGCTTTCGCTCGTTCCAAATCGTGCTGCCGCTGCAGCGCTGACGTCATTATTTCCATTGCCATGCCACGACATGGTTTGCGGTCCTTCCAAATGGGCCCAACATCTAAAACATTGTTTCCCGATGAAACCATCGGAAGTGATTACACATTCGGTGTCGAAGTCCCCCCCCCCACTTTTGGGCGTCGCCACGCCATGATGTGTCAAGCTACGCGTCCTCATTTCCGCGCTTCCGCGCTTGTGTTTTTCGTTTGTCGAAATGCTGCTCTCGCTGAAGCGCTGGCCTCGGTTCGAGCTACCGCTCGCTCCAACGCGTGATCCCGCTGCAGCGCGGGCCTCACTTCCGCGCTTCCGCTCGTTCCGAATCGTGCTGCCGCTGCAACGCTGGCGTCATTATTTCCAGTGACATGCCACGGCATGGTTTGCGGTCCTTCCAAATAGGCCCAAACATCTGAAATATTATATCCCGAAGACACCCTCGGAAGTGATTGCACATTCGGTGCCGATTTTCTGGCCGCAAAAGCTTGCCCACTTTGGGACTTCGCCACGCCATGCAATGTCACGACATGTAATGCCGTTCAACACCATGCTATGCCATGCAATGCTACGCCATGCTGCGACAACCGATTGCGCGAATAGACAGGAGATCTACGCAATGGTAAGGGATGAGAGCGAGGGGTAGGACGTCCGACATGACACGAGCGCACCAAGCTTGCCCTCCTCCTCCTCCTCCTCCCCCTCCTCCCCCTCTTCCGCCTCCCCCTCCCCCTCCTCCTCCTCCTCCTCCCCTCCTCCTCCTCCTCCTCCTCCTCCACCTCCTCCTCCTCCTCTTCCTCCTCCACCTCCTCCTCCTCCTCCTCCTCCACCGGGGCGCATCGCGGCGGCAGCGGCCAGCATCCTCAACCACTCGGTGGCAAGTCATGGAAGCCTCCCGTACTATCGTGTTGGCGCACCGCGGGCTCGCGGCGGCAGCGGCCAGGCCGACCGTGCCCACGTCAACTGTTTTTAAGCTCCACGCTCCAGGCCTCATGGGGGAACTATGCTCGCCGCTGCAGAGGGGGACGAAGCGAGCAAGCTCAGACCCCTTAGTCTGAGCTGTCAGAACAAAGCATCACCCTGTTGCAAGTCATGAAAGCCTCCCACAGCATCTTGCTGGCTCTTGCGAATCGGCGCTGGTCGGCGCGAATCGACGCTAAATCGACGCTAATCGACACTAATCGCCGGTAGTCGATGCTGAATCGACGCTGACACCTCGATTACCAGACGCTAATCGACGCTTCTGTGGTCTAAGGACGGAATTGCGAGGGTCTACAAGGCTTCCACGATTTGCTACCGAACAACCACCGCTGGGCCCAGGACACATCCTTCGACGTCGTGGCCGATTCTTGGGCAGGCAGTCCGCACGACCAGAAGGCCAATTGGGTTCCCGACGACTGCCTCGCAATCGAATCCGATCATCATGATGAGTGCGACCTCGAGGACTCCGAGTCCAACTTCGCGGGCTCGCGACGGCAGCGGCCAGGCCGACCGTGCCCACCTCGAGGCCCTGGGCGACTGCCACGGTCAAGACCTCATGACAAAGAATGACGATTTCTGCTTCCGTGTTCCCTATCTAGATGTCAAGGGCCTTCAAACTAGGCCCCTTGGGCCCAGGGATCTCTAAGGTAGGTTCAAGCGGCGATGGCGCGCCGGCGACGCCGGCGAAGGCGTTCATGAATTCTGCGGCGCGGAAGCACCGAGGGACACAATGACGCCACTGGACCCGGCGGAATTCAACCTTGAACAATCGGGGCCGCGATCGATGAACGATCGGCGCGGTGTCAAAAACCTTTGCGCGTGCTGGCGCCGCACGAACCTACCGTACACTAGACAAGCGCATTCCACTAATCGCAAAGCAACTACTCGCAAGTGGCCTGGATCCGCCGCGAGGGATTCACGATCCATTACATCGAGGCGAATATGAGTTGTTGTCGGACGTTTGCGAGTAGGCGTTCTGCGAGTTGTGGAAAGCGTTCGGTGGGTGCACCTTCTCCGCGATGAAGACTGCAATCTCGCAGACGGCCGTCACTATGGCGGCACGAGTGACAGGGCAGTCTGACACGGAGGACTCCGCGGCAGAGTGCGGGCCCTCTGCGCGGTCCATGCGCCCGGCGGTGGGAAGGAAGGCTGCACGCAATCACCACCCGATGAAGATGACGATAACGATGTAGATGACGATGACGATGACGACGACAACGACGATGACGATGTCGTCATCGTCAACGTCATCGTGATCGTCATCCTCCTCAGTTCAACCCTCCCAAAATGTGCGCCACTGCCAGGCCAGGACAGGGGCAGCAAGAGGCGGGGTGGGTGTGTGGGGGGGGGTCGTCCGTCGACCTCGTCGACCGTGAGCGGTCGCCGCTCTCGACATGGGAGGCAGGATTTGCGGGCACGGGGAGGGGGGGGCGGGGGAAGCAGGGGCAGCTGGAGGCGGAGGTGGAGAAGCAGCAGGACTCAGGCAAGCATGGGCTCCTGAGAGATGGGAGACGAGCTCTCGAGAGACGCGGGGTGCAGTGGGCTGGGACCTCGAGGACTGGGAGCTGCTCCTCCCGCCCCAGGCCCCCGGCCCCCCCGACGCCTCACGGCGAGCCCGCGGACTTCGGCGAGCTCGGCGGCGAGCCGATGGCCTGAGAGGGCGGCCGGGCCCCGCGCCCGCGCCCTCCGCCCGTCGGCCCCTCCGCCGCGCACCCTCCGGAGGGGTGCGGTCGGCAGGAGGTTTGAGGCAGCTCCTGGGAGGTCTCCTCCTCCTCCTCCCCCCCCCCCTCCGCCCTTCTCCTCTTCCTCCTCCTCCTCCTCCTCCACCTGCTCCTCCTCCTCCTCCTCCCCCCCCTCCGCCCTCCTTTCCTCTCCTCCTCCTCCTCCTCCTCCCTCCTCCTCCTCCTCCTCCTCCTTCCTTTCCTCCTCCTCTCCTCCTCCTCCTCCTCCTCCTCCTCCTCCTCCTCCTCCTCCTCCTCCTCCTCCTCCCTCCTCCTCCTCCTCCTCCTCCTCCTCCTCCTCCTCCTCCTCTTCCTCCTGCTCCTCCTCCTCCTCCGTCCTCCTCCTCCTCCATGAGCTGGACTGGGCCGGATTGGGCCAGGGATGAGGCCGGTTTCAAGCTGGAGCAAGCCGGATTGAAGCAGGACTGGGCCAGGGGCCGGCAAAGAGTGGATCAGCTCCGATTCAGAACTTGACCTCCTGAGAGGTGCATCCTAGAAGGGCTGTGGTCGGCAACTCGCGCCTGGGGGGCGGGCGAGGACCTCGGCAGAGAATTCTGCCGCGCCCCCGCGAGGGCTTATCAAACCTCTGGCGCACCCGCAAGCCACAACGGCGCCGATCGCAAACCACACCCCTGCGTAACCACACCCATCATAGTCGCCGATACACGGTCGCCTCCAGCGCCCCTGGGCACCAGGGAAACTAGATGCATGCAGCTGGTTCGGTTCCCCCTCCTCCTTGGCTGCTGACCCCCCCGTTTCGTCCACCCTGGTCCTCCGCCTCTCCCTCCACCCACAAAAAATCAAACCTCCGACGTCGTGATTTGTCGGCGGCGAGCATGGGGGGGAGTGAGAGGGGGCGGGCCTTCTCAAAAGGCGGCGGGCTTCTCAGAAGCCCTCGCGACTTCTGAGAAGCCGTCTGTGTCTTCCGAGAAAGCTCAGAAAGAAGTTGCGGGTGGGTGGACGGGTTTTTGCACACGAGCTGGAGTTGATGATTTCAACGCTGACAAGTGGTTTGCCTCGCATAAGTTGCACCCTCAGGTTACACACAATATATTGTACTCCATAGCTTGCAACATGGAGTGTACGACATAGCTTGTACGATACAAACACGACATACAGATGTAAACGTGCGCATGTAGACAACAGCAAGCCATATAGCACACAACGATAGGTCCACCACATAGGTTGTGGAGTCTAGGCTGGCAAACACCGTTTATCAATCAGTGCACGTTGACTTGTAATAATGTCCCTCTTGGCTTGGCAAAACAAAGCGAAACTGATAACTTTGGTGCATGTCCAATCGTGTGACGTGCTGGGGCACAGTCCGTATCTCAACCCTGAGACAGGATGGGGAGGGGCACGACGGGAGCGAAAGGACAAGGATGAGGAGGACGATGAGGAGCAGCCGACCAGAGACGGCACAGCCATTCGGAGCCGACCAGGTCGCCAGCTGGGTACTGACGCGCCGCAGCGAGGAGGTCAGCATCACCTCCCCGGGCCGGGAGGAGCAGGAGGAGACGAGAAGGGGAAGGGCGGACCCTGACCCTGCGACGTCGTGAGGCAGTCGCGGCGTTTCAGCTCGTCTTGCACGCGAGCGTTCTCGGGCGGGCCGCTCCCAGGCCCCAGGGCCCCCAGAGCGCGACCCGCTGCGAAACAGCAGAGACATCGCCAGCGCACTTGCACCCCAGCGGCCCTACGGGATTCGCACGGGCTCGAGACATGCACGAGCGTGCGGCGCGTCGCGTGCCCACCCAGCGCGCGGAGAGTCACGCACCGAGAAGACCACGGTCCAGGCGCACGGGCAGTCCTCGCACGCAAGAACACGCGCACGGCGAGCGAACTCCTGACTTGTGTTCTGATGTGCCAACCTACTTTAGCCTCCATCGCCAGAAAGAATCCCACCAGCCCTTTAGGGCGTCGGTGGTTTAACGAGTTTCCTCTTCCACCCCTCCCTCTTCCCCTTCGGGGAGGGGTTTACCCCTCCCCCTACCCCCTCCCCACTGACCTGGACAGGAGGGGCGGGGAGCGGTCAGAGCGTCCAAAACGGCCTCGGCGAGGAAGCCAAAAACATTGATTTTACTATGGTTTTGGCCCCATTTTGGCCTTCTCAGGGGGCAACGCTAATTAAGGCTCCCCTCTTCTTTTATCGATTTCCTCCACGATGGCCGCAAGAGGCCCCCAGGATGCCCCACGAGGCCGCAGGATGGCCCCAAGATGGCCCCAAGAGGCCCCCCAGGAGGCCCCCAAGAGACCCCCAAGAGGCCCCAAGATGGCCCCAAGAGGCCCCAAGAGGCCCCCAGGAGGCCCCAAAGAGAATCCCGAACGGCCCACAGAGGCCCCCCCGAGGCACCCAAGACGCCGAGAAGCCCTTCAGGACGACCCTCTACTCGCCTGGGCGTCGTTTCTGGACGGGCTGGTGGGGATACGCGAAGCGTCTAGAATTTCGAACACCACGAAAGTACAGAAATTTCAGGGTTGACACGCGCCGGGCAGTGGGAGGCGATACTCGTTCGACACCTTTTCAACATTTTTCTGGGTGTTCGAAATCATTTCTGGAATTTGATCCAAAGACGATGGGAACTACATAAGACTTGTGCCGACGCTGGTTCAGCCGTGCTGGAGCTGACCCTCTCTATTCCCCATGGATCGATTCATATGTATTTGTTACCTGTCGGGGGTCCCACACAATCCCCAGACAACTCACTCCGGCCTCCGAATATACCTCGCCCAAAGCAGCCCCATGCACATCCAAGGCGCCTGAAGACGACCCCAACAATGACACCCAAGAGGCTCTCCAACACCAAACACTGCGTGTAAGACTATATTTGTTCACGATGTCTGGGTAGCCCCGAAAATATCATCAAAACCACCCAGAGGGGCATCCAGAAGGCCCCGGAGAGCCCCAAGAGACGGCCCAACGGGGCCTCAAGACTGCCCGAAGAGAGCCCCGTGACGGCCCAAGATCGCGCGGAGGTGTCCCCCAAAGCGCCAGAAAGCGTGGCCCGCCTGTTGAGGGAGACCGCGGAAATTAGCAGCGAGGGGGCCCCAAGACGCCATCAAAGACCCCCAAAACGCACCCAGTAGGACTCCAAAGGCCCCTAAGGAGCTTCCAGTAAGCTGTCGTGAGACCCCAAGAAAACTCGATGATCCTCAGAACGCTTGTTAGCCCCAACGTGTGTTCGTCCATCGAGGCCCTTCGACACGACACAGGCGATGTAATGATCTACTGATTGGGCTGAAGGGGGTACACACACTGGGCTAACACAACAACAAATAGAGCGAATTAGAACCAAGACGCAAATTGAATGCTCTGTATGTTTGCTGCTCGCCCCCAATGGTTGCGTACCGGGACTCTGCCTTAGGGCCTGCTCAGCTACACGAACAAACGGAGGAAACATGCGATGGAATACGATGACAACAATGGCATGCCGCCACATGCCCTTACCTACCACCCTGGCCGTACGTCATCTTCTGCACAATCTGAGACAAGTTATGCGCAAAATCTGACGAGCTGATTCCCACTGGACTGGGGAACCCGAGTTGTCCGAGCAGAGACCTGCGCAGGCTGCCCCTGTTGAATGGCCCAACAAAGCGCTGGAGCGCTTGCACGATTTGGAAGTGGAAACCGCAAACAACCCAAATTTTTAGGCACGGCCCGTGCTCGGGAGATGGATGTGGCCCCGGGCGACTCTTAAAGCGACCTCGGGGGCAAAATTCTCAATAGTCTGTCCAGGAAACGGTCGAAAGCATGCAGGCGCACATCTGTCGTAGAGCACAGACGGGCGATTCGAGTGACCATGGCCCGTGGCCACGCTAGGTGCACAGGGGGGTTTGGGACGAGGACGCGCAGTGTCCTTGAGGTGGTGGGATACTACAAATGTGCCTCCTACAATCTCTATATCAAGCTCCAAAAACCGCAGTGCATGTCGGAACCATTCGGCTTTCAGGGGGTAAATTATGGCAAGATGCTGCATGTGTTCGAACAATAGCCTTGACACGCGCGAAGCCCGCCCGGCACGCATCGCGAGGATGTCGTCCTTGAAGCGGAAATGGACGTTGATGCCGCATTTCCTGCGCAGCCTTGTTGATAGGACCGTGGTCTCGACGAGGGCCGCAAAACAGGAATCTGTGAGTTCCCCAGAACGCGGCAAGCCCATACCTGTACCGTTCATGACGTGGTAAACGTCGTCGGAGAAAGGGTCTCGGACCATCTGGACACTAAGAAAAACGTTACGACGTGCCAGAAACAGCTGCACTGTGGATCATCGGGGCTCTACAGGGACATGACAGCCTCAGTCATCTCGTTAGCAGTGCCGGGAAAATGCGAATCCTTGACATCAATTTTCAAGAAATGTCAAGTCACGGTCCTTGAGGTCGCACGAGTCACTAATCAGTTGCGGCGCGATCTCATCCAGCTTCTTAGCCAGCACTGCCCTGAGCCGGGCGCTCAGCCCAGCAAACATGAAATTTGGCGTGACCTGGATGGGTCGACAAGTGACGTCATCATCCCCCTCGTGGTCCTTGACGGCGAGTTGCAACACAGAAAGTGAGTTGGAGTTGCTGCGCCGTGTTGTCTTCGACAACAGCGGTCCGTGGGCTGCAGCCCCAACGGACCGAAAGAGACGATGATATCTGCGCACGATGTCCGCGGTCGCGTTGTCGCTGCAAACCCCGCGCTAATAAACACTCGAACTGAGGATCGAATCCGTGATTCTGGGCATCTCTGCACGCAGTACCACCGAGAGCTTAGGAACTGCAACAAACTCACAGTCTGCCAACAAGCGAAAGGCAAGCTTTTCGAAACCACACACGTTAGACCAATCACGTTTGCAGCGTTGCAGCGATCTGCGAGCTGAAAGGGCAACCTGGAGCATGCCGTTGCGAAACTGGCCCAACAAGAAATTGAGAGAAGCATCGCAAATCATATTGCACGCGGGCGTTCGCCTGTTCCTGGGAACAGCAATGCTCGGTGCGTGGCGATCGCGCCGAAGAGCCCAACGTCATTTCATCTCGCTGACGGAATTGTTGATTTGACGAGTGGTGGTTACCATTTTTGGCAAGGAATTGTTTCGGAATCTGTGCTTCAGGTGTCTGCGGGTGAACAACCATTTAACTGGCCAGGGGATACGGTCGGTGTCAACCAGCCCCTTCCTGTCTGGAATGTACTGATTGACATGGGGACCGCACGCTGTCCGAGCAGCCAGCGTCAGCATGTCGCCCACGTCGCGCCCGTGGAGGAGTCGACCGAACATGCGGCCCAGGGACAAGCCCCACCGATGGGCCCTTTGCGTCTGCCGCCAGGTGTCCCTGCGTTGCCGCTTGGCTTCTGGACGCCCTTGCCGCCGCCAGCTTTGTCGACCCCCATTCCGCCCTTGCCACCTTTCCTGCCCTTGGGCTTGCCCTTCGAGGGAGGACGGGCGACTCCCCCTCGGGCAGGGCCGCTTTTTGGTTTGATGGCGGTACTGCGGATGGCGTCGATGAGCAACTGCCCCTGAGGCACGTCGGCAGGTTGCATGGCGACGTCGCCTGGCTGCTCTGGCGCGGCCACGAGCGACTCGGCAGCAAGCTTGGTTTCGGCGCAGTGGCCCAACACATTTTCAAACAGTTCGGAAGGGCGTGCTTTGAAAAGTTCCACCTCCCTCTGCTTCCAAGCTGCCTTTTCCTTTCTTGCCTTGCGCTCTCGGGCAACCTCTTCCTTCTTGACCGTGTCCACTGCCTGCTCATACATCTTTATTACCTTGGTTCTGACGCAGTCTGCGGGGATCACCTCGTGAAGGGGCTCCCCAGGGCCAAGCTTCTCGGCGCGGTCTTTGGTGGACGTTTCGTGGACGATAGCGTCGGCGACTTTGCACGGCTCTTCCTTCTTTGCCGAAGGTGTTGCTGCTGCGAGCGTGCCTGCCGCAGCGGCCCGTTCGATGCGCTTGATCTCGCGAGAGCAATGCCAGTGCATGCACTGCGTGACTTCCTTGTGAGTGGCACCTCGCTTCACAGTGCAACAGAACACGAACTCATGATCCTGGACGACTTCGTACGGCTCATCCATCTCCGCCAGCGTTTTGGACGCCGAAAAAGGCCGAACTCTTGCGGGCTACCTCATGGCCTCATCACGTTCGGACACGTAGCTGTCGAGGACTGCATTTATCGTGTTCAGGCGCCTCCTGAAGCGAACCACTGCACGTAATTCGTTATCCTTCTTAGGTTGGAGCCTGTTCAAGGCCTCGTCCAGCTTCTTCGGGATGCGGATTGTTTTTGCCTGCGGAGCGGTAGGGACAGGAGGCGCCGAGCCAGCAGCGGACTGCATGGCTGCGCCGGCCGCGCCGCCGTGGCCACCGCTTGGGCGGCTGCGCTGGCGGTAGCGACAGCGCCGGCGGCTTGCTGCATCAGAGCCGCCATGGCCTGCTGCAGATTGTTGTCCCTCTCCAACATCGTCATGGTGAGCGTGGTCACCGTCCTCTGCAGGTCCGCCTGGGCGTCGGCCAGACGGGTCAAAGCAGATCGCAGGTCGAGTAGTTGCTGACCATCTGATGGGAGGTGCCCGGCGGTTCTTTGCTCAGGCACGCGGCCTTCCGAGCGATGCGGTGATCGGCTGTTGCGCACAGGCGATGGTCCGAGTGCACTCGCAACGCTTGCAAAAGAAGACCTCTCGTCCTGACCCACCATGTGCCGTTCTCAATCGAAGATAGAAATGAAACCACACAACAAAAAGAGCGAATGATAATCAAGACACAAATGTAATGCTCTGTATTTCTGCTGGTCGCCCCAATGGTTGCGTATCTGAACTCTGCCTTAGGGCCTGCTCAGCTACACGAGCAAACTGAGCAAAAATGCTACGGAATACGATGATAACAATGACGACAATGACGACGATGACGACGATGACGACAATAACGACGATGACAACAATGACGACAATGACGACAATGACGACAATGACGACAATGACGACCATGACGACAATGACGACAATGACGACAGTGACGACAGGAGACCGCCGAAATTAGCAGCGAGGGGGGCCCAAGACGCCATTAGAGACCCCCAAAACGCACCCAGTAGGCCTCCATAGGCCCCTCAGAAGCCCCCATGAAGCTTTCGTGAGACCCCCGAGAAAGCTCGATGATCCTCAGAAGGTTTGTGAGCCCCAAGATGTGTGTTGTCCATCGAGGCCCTTCGACACGACCCAGGCGATGGAATGATCTACTGATTGGGCTGAAGGGGGTAAACACACATTGGGCTAACACACGTCCTGAAAATCATCGAAAAACCTCCAAGGTGGAGCCTCCACAACGAATAACCGGCCGGCCCCCTCTGGGTACACCAGGCTGCGTGGCGGAGATTTCCCCGCACACTGCAGCAGTCCCAGCTTCCAGTCCCCACAAAGGGAGGAATGAGGCGGGAGGAGCACGCAGAGCACGTGGACCACTCCCGCACACGTGTCACATGTGCACCGTCTGGGGTGCTGCGGGTGCAGCAGTGGAGCAACGGGAATCTAGACAAGTTGCGTGGCTCGCTCATTTCTCGTGTGTGGTGCGCTGTGGAAGTCGTTCGCCTCTGAGTGCTCGCCCTTCCCTCCTTCCCCGCGGCCGCCCTTTCTTTCCTTTTCCCTCCGCCTGCATGCCGGCCAATTCGCTTTGCAATGCCCCTGCATCGCTGCCACGCTGGAGCGGATCGTCCCGCCTCGCTGCCGACGGAAAAGAGTGGCGCGCTGCATGTGCACACCCGATGATGTCCGAATGCTTCGCTGACGCAACGTGCCAAATCTCTGCAATACCTATGTCGCCACATTCCTTTGTTTGTAGCGAACAAAACGTCGTGTGCCGTCCATCCCGTAGGAGGCGGGAGGGAGAAGGAACGCGACGACGACGACGACGACGACGACGACGACGACGACGACGACGACGGCGACGATCCACCCATCGGGCATCGCCATGGCGACGGCCACAAGACAAAGCATATGCACGGAGCTCGCAGGGTGGTGGAAGAACCAGACGGACACCACCTGGCTCAGCGACTGCCTGGCGGCCAAGTGCTCTGTAGGTCCCGCCGCGTGGTCCCCGTTCCTTCCATTCCCGCATGCCTCCCCCCTCCTCGGTGGCAAGTCATGAGAGCCTCCAATACCATCTTGATGGCTCTTGCGAATTGACGCTAGCCGACGCTAATCGACACTAGCCAACGCTTAATCGACGCTAATCAACACTACATCGACGTTACCTCATCGAATGCCAGACGCTAATCGACGCATGCGCTCTAAGGCCGCAAATTGCGCGAGGGTGCACAAGGGTCCCATGATTTGCTACCACACCCGTCTCTCCCATAAACTCTTTCTCCCGTTCCGTTCAACCGGCATGAAGACTACTCTCCTCTCCCCCAACTGCGTCCTGGAGACATCCCGCCCTCTCCGCGTACTGATTTGACAACAACTGCTGTTTACATCGGGTTCTTCCAGTCGGAGAATGTTCGGCGATTCAAAGCGATGTTTCCGCTGCAGCCTCGACCTCGTTTCAGCACCAGCGCGTTGCTCCTGCTGTTCAGAATGGCGCTCTCGCCCAAGCCCAGGCCACACTCCTGTGTCCGAGTGCTGCATCGTCGTTGTCACCCCTTCCTTTCTCTTCCCCCGCCATCCTCTGGGCCTTCTGCTCCTCTAGCTCCTCCTGCTCCTGCCGCTGATGTGCCTGCTCCTCCTCCTCCTCCTCCTCCTCCTCCTCCTCCTCCTCCTCCTCCTCCTGCTCCTCCTCCCTCCACCTCCTCCTCCAATGTACACAGCTCCCCCACTTCAGATCCGCCACCGTGCCTTTAGCACGTAGTGGAGTGAGGCCCGGACCCCCAGTGTCCCAGGCGCTACTGGGCGCTACTGGGGTGCGTCGCATGGGCCTCTGGGAGGGTGGCCCCACCCATGGCAACAGGGCCCCGAAACGGGCGGAGAGGCCCCAAGAAGCCCCAGCAGGGTTCAAGAGGACTCCGAGACGGCCCAAGAGTTGTCAAAGATGCCCAAGATGGCTTCAAGACAGCCCAAGGAGCCTTCGAGACGCTCCAAGAGAACCCCGAGAGCCTTCCCAAGAGGGCCCCAACAGCCCAAACTCATTGATTGTCATTCGGTTTTTCAATACGTATGGGGTTTTCCACTTTTCGAGCTTCCGACGCTCCAAGACGTCCCAAGAGGCCCCCCAAACAACCCCAAAACGGCCAAAGAGGCCCCCAAGAGGGCCCCAAGAGGGCGCAGGAGGCGCCCAAGTCGGCCCAAAGGCCCCAAGACAGCCTCAAGGGAGAACACGAACCGAAGATCCGCCGATCCGGCGTGTGAACTACAAGGAGCCTCAGCAGAAGCTTCAGATCTGAACCTAAGCAAGAGTTTCAGCACTGCTTGGGGGGGTCGCCGGGGTGGCTGTGCTGGGGAAGGGGGGAAGGGGGGGGGCCTCCAACTAGCGTTTTCTGTATGATTTGCGCATCCCCCAGATGTTCTGGGGGGGCGCCACGGTTGCCGGGGTGGCTCTGCCAGGGAAGCGGAGGAGGGAGGGGGGGGGCCTCCATCTGGCGATTTCTGTATGATTTGCGCATCCCCCGGATGTCTCGGGGGGTCCCACGGTCGCCGGGGTGGCCCTGCCGGGGAAGGGGGGAGAGGTGTGGGGGAGTTCTCCATGTAGTTTTCTTTAATGATTTGCGCGTCCCCCAGATGTTTCGAGGGGTCCCAATGTCGCCGGGGTGGCTCTGCCAGGGAAACAGAAGAGGGGGGGGGCTCCATCTAGCGTTTTTTAAATGATTTGCGCATCCCCCAAATGTTTCGGGGGGTCCCACGGTCGCCGGGGTGGCTCTGCCGGGGAAGGGGGAAGGGGAGGGGGGGGAGCTCCATCGAGCGTTTTCTTTATCATTTGCGCATCCCCCAAATGTTTCGGGGGGTCCCACGGTCGCCGGGGTGGCTCTGCCGGGGAAGCGGGAAGGAGGGTTCTCCACCTGGCGTTTTTACGATTGGCGCATCCCCCAGACGTTTCGGGAGGTCCCACGGTCGCCGGGGTGGCTCTGCTGGGGAAGCGGGGGAAGGGGGGGGTCCTCCATCTGGCGATTTCTGCATGATTTGCGCATACCCCAGATGTTTCGCGGGGTCCCAGGGTCGCCGAAGTGGTTCTGCCGCGGACGGGAGGAGGAGGGGGCGGCCCTCCATCTGGCGTTTTCCTTATGATGTGCGCATCCTCCAAATGTTTCCGGGCGTCCCAGGATCGCTGCAGTGTCTCTGCCCGGGAATGGGGGAAGAGGGGGTGTGAGCCATGGCCTTCTCTTCAGGATTTGCGCATCTCCCAGATGTTTCGGGGGGTCCAAGGAAACCCTTCAGATCTAGCCGTTACCGCCCCGAGGCCCTCGCAATCCTCCGCGGACCTCGGGGGGGTCCCCCATCTGGCGTTTCTGAATGATTTGCGCCTCCCCACGATCTCTCGGGGCGTCCCAGGGACCCCCCTCAGATCTAGCCCCTTCCGCCCCCAAGACCCTCCCCTCGGAACCCTCTCTGGACCCCCCCCTGGGACCGCTTCATTCACCCCCCCCGAGGGCACGCCAGATCCCAAAAGCGTCTCTGGCGACCCAGGAACCGCGGGACTCCTCTTGGCTTTTTCCGTGGCGTCCTCCTGTTACTCCTTCTCCTCGTCCTCCTCCTCCTCTTTCTCCCTCCTGCGCCTCCTCCTCCTGCGCCTCCTCCTCCTGCGCCTCCTCCTCCTCCTCCTCCTCCTCCTCCTCCTCCTCCTCCTCCTCCTCCTCCTCCTCCTCCTCCTCCTCCTCCTCCTCCTCCTCCTCATGTCTCTCCCCTCCTCGCGCGCGTCGGGCGGAGGCACGGCCGGCGAGCCGAGGCACGGCCCGCGCCACCGCCGCCGCCGCTGCCGCCGCCGCCGTCGCCATCATCGCCGCCGCCGTCGTCGTCGTCGTCGCCGCCGCCGCCGCCGCCGTCGTCCTCGTCGTCGTCGTCGTCGAAGTAAGAAGAAAGAGGACCGGAAGAATCGAGGAGGGAGGAGGCCACAGAGCCGAGAAGATCACGAAATCCACAGCCCCCCGGATCGGCGGCACTGGCCGGGGCCATCACAATCCGAGCCTTCCGCCCCAAGAGGCGCCCAGGAGGCCCCAAGAGGCCCCGAGACTCCCAAGAGGCCCCCATGACCCAGGAGGCCCAAACGAGATCGCCAAAAACAGCGCCCCGGAAGCCTCAAAACTGCATCCCGGAGACCCCGAGAGGCCTCGACGAGATCCCAACGACCATCCAAGAGGCCTCAGGCCCACAACCGAAGCACGGTGGCGGGAGGGCCCGAAGGCCGTGAGAGTGCGCATAACACGAAGGAGTCCCCTTTTGGGGGGTCCAGGTTCGCTGCGACACCCGTCGGCGGGCAGATCCGCCGACCCTCGCATGCCGGGGGTGAAAAGGCGTGTGAGACACTTGGCCGTCCCCCTCCCCCCTTCCCCCCTCCCCCAGGGTCCAAAATCCGATTAGAGGGGGAGGGGGGAGGGACGAACTCGTCGACGCACCCCCAGGGGGTTGCGGAGCCCCCGAAAAGCCCCAAGGCAGCCCAACAGGGCCCAGACAGAGCGCCAAGACAGTCGAAGAGAGCGTCTCGACGGCCCAGAGCAGACGGCCCACGAGGCCCCCAAGACTGCCCAAAAGCGCATCCAGAGGATCGCCGAGCGGGCCCCAAGAGGCCAACATCATCCTAACCCCTAAGGAGGAAAAAACGTACATGCTCAGCACATTCGCATTATACGTTTTGGCAGCGAACTCGACGGCCCAAGTGGCCTCCAAGATCGTCCCAAGACGGCCCATGATGCCTCCAAGAAGGCCACAAAACGGCCCAAGAGGGCCCACAGTGAAAGACAGCCCCTGGGGCCCCCAAGACAGAGAGGGCTCCAAGAAAGCCCGAGAGGGCAATTCCCACTGACATTTCGAGCCTTTCCACTGAGACGGCCCCTCGAGCCCCCCAGATTTCCCCGAGGGCCCTCCAAGAGGCCCCAAGAGGCCTCCAAGACGCCCCCAAGAAGCCCCCCAGAGGCCCCCTATGAGGCCCCAAAAAGCCTCCCAGATGCCCCCAAGACATTCCAAGAGACCCAAAAAGACACCCCAAGACCCCAAAAGACCCTCAGAGTCATCCAGGAGGCTCCTGACCCAAAAAAAAACTTCCATGATCGACTCAAACACTCACTCCGTGTGGGGGTCCGCAGAATCGCGAAACCACTTGAATAAAAATGAGCACAATGTACATGGATGGGTGGGAGGGGTAGGATGTCAGATACAACACGAGCGCACCCA